GAGGAGGTTGGACTGAGGAGGTTGGACTGAGGAGGTTGGACTGAGGAGGTTGGACTGAGGAGGTTGGACTGAGGAGGTTGGACTCAGGATTGTCTCATATTTACTCATCTAGAACGGTTGAGGGTCTTTACGTTTTCCACAATGAGCCGTTTTTCTTCATGAAGCATCCAAACAGCAGCGGCAGATGGAACATGTTCCTCCTCTGACTGCATGTCTGCTGCTGCTTCTCTCCTGAGTGGCTCTCCTCCTTCCTGTCAGCCCGTCTCTCCGTGTGCTTCTATGCTAATCCAGGGTGAGAATGAAAGAGAAGCAGGAGATCAGGTGGGAGGATGAGAAATCAATTAGGACTGTTGGAGGGCATCATTATGCATTCACACCCCCTCTGCAGAGGAAGGCCTGTCACTTTGCTACTGAATCAATACAAATCAAAGCAGTGTGTGTCTGAGCATACACCCTACATGCTAAAGCTGCCATTCATCTGCTGCCTCCTTCAGCTCCACACCTGATTAGCCTGCTCACAGAGGGACCCACAGACCTGGATCCAGCAGGTCTGAGCAGCAGATCCCAGACTGGAACCAGTTCAACCAGTGCTTTAGGCTTCATCTGTCAGTGTGTGAGAGGGGGGGTGTTCTGCCAGAACCAGAACTCCACCAAAGAATGTTTATCTTAGAGTTTGAATCACTAAGTAGATTTTTTTAGATGCTTTTTGAACGAAATCAGAGGAACTTTGAAAGCTGGTCCAGACGCCAGAGCTTCAGTTCCTGCTGCGTTTAGCTGAACCGTAGTTCAGCTCGTCATGTTCTCCTGCGTTTGAGTGTTCAGGCGCTCCTCCGCACTGATGGGATGAAGAAGGAAGCCACGGCCGGATCTCCAGTCTAACGTTGGTCTTTCTTTCCTGCAGTGCCTCCTCAGATCGTCGTCAGGCCGCGAGACCAGATCACAGCTCCGGGTCGGACCGTGACCTTCCTCTGCGGTACCAAGGGAAACCCCCCGCCTGCCGTCTTCTGGCAGAAAGAAGGCAGCCAGGTGAGGAAGAAGCACCACAGTGAACACTGAACCCCTCAGCTGATGGTTAATGAGCCGGGGCCGCGTTCCAGGACCCAACCAGGGCGGGTTCAATGGAGAATGTGAATCTTTGCAGCTTGTCAAAGGTGTCCAGAATAAAACCTTGATGTATGAATGAATGCATCCAGGTGCTTTTCTTTCAGTGGACGCATCATGAGCAGATCTAGCCCTTGTTTTATCTCTGCTTTTACCTGCTGATGAGTTTCAGACGTTGGCGCTGTGGTTCAGAGCTCTAAAACCAACAGGATGGAGACATTTTCCACACGTCGTCCTGCTGCCTTTTGTCAGTTCTAGAAAAAAGAGGCTGTCAGAGTTCTATAAATCACAGCACCAATCCATAATCCATTAACAGATCAATCATGTTTTAAGGAAGGTCTGTTTTCAGAACAATCCCACCCTCGGTTTAACGGTCAGCCGCCTGCTGCTCCTCCCGCCTGCTTCTGCAGGCAGCGTCCGTGTTCTCCATGTGCACAGGCAGGTCTGATGGTGCCGGGGCGTCTGCACTGTGATGAACTGGTGACCTGTACTGGTGTCCACGTCTTGGCCACTGGAGATACGAGGCAGGCTCCCTGCAGCCACTGCAAAAAACTGAAATCTTAATAAGACTTTTTTTTCTTAAAATAAGTGAATTTTTCTCCTGAATTGGGGAGATATT